CTTCATATTTTATATAATTACATCATCATCATCATCATCATCTAATTCATCATCATTAACTTATCAAATCATCATCATCATCATCTAATTCATCATCATTAACTTATCAAATCATCATCATCATCATCTAATTCATCATCATTAACTTATCAAATCATCATCATCATCATCTAATTCATTATCATTTCATCAAATCATCATCATCGTCGTCGTCGTCACTCCGCATCATCACATCACTACCACAACGATATATCATGATATTCACGATGACATCACCACAGTGACGTCATTCATCACCATAGTGACATCACCACAACAACAAACCATCGTCATCATCATCATCATCACAGCAAACCACCACCACCTTCACCATCGTCACCATCAGGACGCTGAAGAAACGCAACCTGCCGCGAAACATGGAGATGTTCAAGGTCGTCGTCAACATCAACGAAATCCATTACGTCGATCGCCACAATCGCGATGACGACGATATCCTTAACGATGATAATGATATCCGTAATGATGATGGTGATGATGATGATGATGACGACGACGATGATGATGACGATTGCGTGGACGGTAGTGGCAGTTTTTTAGAGGCCCGGGAGTTGAGCGCCGGCGAAGGTTGTAAGATTGGGAGTAGTGGAGGCAAGGGGGAAACCACCCTGTTATGACGACTGCTTATTATTGTTTTTGTTGTTGTTGTTACTGTTGTTTTTGTTGATGTTGTTGTTGTTGTTGATGTTGTTGACCTGTTATCGTTTATGACGTCGTTGATGTCTCGACTGTGTTGTTGAGGTTGTTATTATTATTATTGTTGTTGTTGCTATTATTATTATTGTTACTATTATTATGTTATCTTTTTTTGTGCTGTTATGTAATGTTTATACTGTAACGTTTTACGACGTCAGAGAGCTGATGATAATTATAATAATGATAATAATAATAATAATAATTTTATTAATTATTTACTTTATTTACTTTAATTTGCTTAATTATTAAATACTTTATTACTTCTAAACTTTGTATATATTTACGTAACTCTAAGCGTTGTTTGTATCACTTTTTGTATATTAATTTTTGTTTGTATATTAATTTTTGTTTTTTATTAATTTATGTTTATATATTAATTTATGTTTATATACTAATTTATGTTTGTATATTGATTTATGTATGTATAACGATTGTATATATATAAACATATACACACACGTACACACACGCACACAAACAAACACACATACGCACGCGCAAACATGTGTGCGTGTCCCAGTTCCTGACTATGTGGTACCTCGTTTTAATTCTTATAATAGGAAAATTTTTGTCATCCTTGATTTGTTTCCCTCATTCAGATGGATGGCTGGCTGGCTGGCTGGATGGATGATTGAATGGATGATTGAATGAATGAATGAATGAATGAATGAATGGATGGATGGATGGATGGATAAATGAATGGATAAATGAATGAATAAATGAATGAATGAATGAGTACACTGATAGATGGAGGAATTGATGGTCGGACGGATGAATGATTGAACAGATAGATGGATGTGTCATTTGCTAGAGTGAGGCGGGTGAATTGTTAGATTGAGAGATGACTTGATGAAAAGATGGATAAGTAGATGGGTGTATGGATGGATAGACGGATGGGTAGATAGATAGACAGATGGACAGGAAAATGAATGAATGGTTGAAAAATGGGATGGATAAAAGAATGATTGCTGTGGTTGGATATACGAATTGATATTTCACTGAATGCAGGAAAATTTTTAACATTTTTATACATTTGTGACGTTAAAGATTTTTATTATTCATTTTTTTCATTTTTTTTGATTATATGTTTTGATCAGTTATATATCCAATAATTTATTTCTTTTTCTCGCTTGGTAATTATCCTAATTACACGCACTGATATCAAAGATACTATGTAGTTAGAATTATTTTTCTTTGTATATTTTAGTTTTTTTGGTGACGTCGTTTTTTTATTTATTTCTTTGGAATTGGTTTTTGAATGAATGTTGTCGCTGTGTTGTCTTTGTTTTGTTTATGTTTAAAGTTGTTGTTTGTTGTTTCCTCTGTGTGTGTGTTTTTTGGTTTATATCCATGTTTGCGTTTCAAACGAGCATAAAATTGATCTTTTCACACACGCACGCACACACACACACACACACACACACACAAGTAACCAGCCACACATAAATCCAAATTAATACAAAAACTCAAACACAGAATCCACGCATATATACATACAAACACACACATAAAGCATTGCGTGTGTTGTCTAGTGCACAGCTCTGTCTTATACAAACTTTAAAAATTTCACACACGCACGCGCATACGCACACACAAACAAACTGTCACACACATTCACACACACACAATTTAATACGGCTTCAAAAAGTAAATGTTTTTTTTTGTAACGAGCGCGCTTGCTCGGTCAGTTGTCTGAATCTTTGCATAGAATCTGATACTGAGCTTTCGCGTTTGGGTTTGTATTTTAAGATGTTTCTACGTTTGTTTACCTAAGTATGTAAGTACTGATGAAGATTATTGCATGCAGCCCATTCATGGAGCACTTAAGATTCATATAATTACATTCATATCCAGTTAGTTTTTATGTAATTGGTGCAATTTCCATTTTGAGTTTGGTCATAGAATTTTTGGTTCATAATAGTAATAATAATAA